TTGGCAAGCTCTTTGCTCTATTTTCAACTTGGTTTGTAACAAAACAAAGCGAAACAAAACAAAAACCAGACTCTTCACAGAACTGGCATGTATTGGATCTGGAATCTTGGACTGGCTAATTTTGTATTACTTTTAAATATTATTAAACTTGTGTCTTGCTATAATTAAACATTTTATGAAAATGACTATAGCAGATTAGTAAACAAAATAATCTAGGCTGGCTGCACAAAAACTTTTATTTTTTCTTAGTTCCATTTAATACCGTGAACTAAACTAGTCTTTCTCCCTTCCCGCTCTTCATATAAATAACTTGATCCCTTGAGATCTCAGTGGCCTGCAGTTCTCTGTTTCATGTCTCACACACTGCTGAGACTTGCATAAGCAAGGGGATGCTCAGAGAGGACAAAAGAAATTTGGGTTTTGGTAACAAAACCACATTAAACTTTGTAACATATGAATTCTACCTTGTGAAGGATATAAAAAGACTAAGTATAATTGTTGCCTTCAATACACTAGTAATTTAAAAGAATTAGTAGTAATATATAAATATTCCAAGTCTAATAAAAATGATTTATTTATTTTTTTATTTATTTTGAGACAGAGTCTCGCTCTGTCCCCCAAGCTGGAGTGCAATGGCACGATCTTGGCTCACTGCAACCTCCACCTCCCGGGTTCAAGCGATTCTCCTGCCCCAGCCTACTGAGTAGCTGGGATTACAGGTGCCCCCCACCCCACTACTCCTGGCTAATTTATTTTAATAAGCTTATTGGAACCCACAACTCTTAACATTGTTCCCCTAATCTTTATACAATGCCCCATGCCTGTACGCTCTCGTGCTCGCTGGTGGTCTCTCTCTGCCTCCCTCCTCCTACCCACTCCATGCTGGCATCCTGATTGGTTCTACCTTGAGCTGAGCTCAGTCTCTAACAGTTCCTCACCTGCACAGCCAGGAAGTGCAGCAACTGGCTTAGCCCTACCTTCTGGCGGGCTTGTGTTAACTGCATATCCAGAGTCTGGGGAAATGCCAGTGCCAAGTAACCCTGAGTCATCTTTTTAGCGTTTTCCTCCTTAGTGGTCAGCCTGATAATTTACCTAAAAGACCAGTCTCCATTTAGGTCTATAGCACTTCCTGAACCTCACCAGCCTCATCAAAGCAGGATTGGGCTTGGATTCCTCTCTCTTGCCAGTTAACTACTGTTTTAATTATCTATTGTTGTATAACCTATTACCCCCAAATGCAGTGGCTTCATATAACTATGGTTTCTTCACTTGCATATATATCCATTACCTTGGTGTCCCTTGGCTCCTCTCCTTCTTACTCTCTCAACCTAGGTTCATCCTTCAGGGCCTAGTCACAGCATTGTGGCGTGGTCTCAGGCATGAAGGTCTCAGAGTAGGTGGATTTCTTACATGGCCCCTGGCTTCTTCAGGGAATGTTCTAAGAGACAGAATTTGGAAGTTGTGAGTCTTGTAAGGCCTGGGCTGAGAAACTGACAACGACACTCCTGAAAAATTGTATTGGTCACAGAGTCTGCCACAGTTTCAAGGGGAGGGGACAAAGACACCATCTCTTCATGGGAGGATTGTCAGAGTTTGAGGCCATGTCTAATGTGCAGTTACTCCTTTTCCTAAAGTCCCTGTGAGTTCAACCACTGGTCAGACTTCAACCACAGATCCTGCTGTGGTTGACTGAAACACTAGGAGCAACTTGATGTAACTGAACCTGATCCATTTGTGTTCATGCTGCAGCATCTACCAGATCATACGCCAGTGCCGATGACTGCTGAAACCTTTCTCATGAGCTTCTGCTTTTGGGCACTGAGCTTGACCTTCACAAATGCTGGGAGTAGCATCTGTAACCAGCTGTAGTAGTCAGGGTTCTCCAGAGAAAAAGAACCAATTGTGTGTGTGTGTGTGTGTGTGTGTGTGTGTGTGTATTTGTATGTATATTATCATAATTTATAAAGATTTGGCTCATGTGATTATGGTGGCAGTCAAGTCTCAAGATCTGCATGGCGGGTCAGCTAGAAGTCCAGGAGAGCTGGTGGTCTAGTTCCAGTCCACATTTGAAGGCCTGAGAATCAGGACAGCACGTAGTGGACTTTCTGTCAAAGGCCAGCAGGCTTGAGAGTCAAGAGGAGCCGATGTTTCTGTTCAAGTCCAAAGGCAGGAAAAAAGCTGATGTCCTGGTTGAAAGGGACTCAGGCAGAAGGATTTCTCTCTTACTCAGGGCAGAGTCAGTCTTCTGTTCTATTCAAGCCATCACCTGATTGTAAGAAGCCATCTTAGCGAAGGCAACCTGCTTTATTCTCTCTACTGATTTAATCTCATCTCAAAACACCCTCACAGAAATGCTTAGAATTGTATTTGACAAAATATCTGGGCACACTGTGGCCCAGTCACATTGACACATAAAATTAACCATCTCCAGTTCAGTTTCCCCAGCCCTGCATCCTTTCAAGAATTTCAAGAATTCTTTGCTTGCCTCACTCTCTCGTGACAAAGCCTACTCCGTAACAAGAGCTGCAGTGTCTGAGTTCTAAGAGAGCCATTTCCGTAAAATGTGTCACTTCCTTCTTCAAACAGTGGTGTTATTGCTGTATGGCTTGTAATTTGTTTATGAGGACAATTAATAGGTAAACCAGGCACATAACAGGTGACAGAAGCACGGGTGTCTCCAAGTGTACATATGCGTTAGATGGCTGTGCAGGGAACCACTGTGGTGTTTGCAGGAAAAAGAACTATGAGATTTCAATGACCACAAAATGCTAACATGTGTCTAGTGTTTTATAATTTACAAACAACTTTCGTATACTTTACCCCTGTAGTCTTTGTGATCCTTATAGTTGGTATTATTATTATAAATGCTGCTTTGGAAAAGATAATATTAATAATACAATGTGGCCTGCACAGTCTCCTTTATTTGTGCAACTATTATTCATTTATTTATGTTCATTTATTCCACAAATATCTATTGAGTGCTGTGTGCTGGATATAAACTGGTGAGAGAAAACAGATGTGTCTGCTCTCATGGAACACATGGTCTATTATAGAAGAATGCTGTTAATTAAATAATCTCACAAATCAATATAAATTTAGAACTGTGATCAGTGCCCTGAAAGTGAAGTACATAGTGGCATGAAAGGGACATTTGGCCTCATCACTGAGGAAGTGTCAACTTAATTGATGAAGGGCATTCACTAGAGTAAAGGATGGAGGAAGGGCCCCATGTTCCATGGGGAGGGAACAGCTCGTTTGCAAGAGCCCTGTGGTAGGAGAGGATGCTTCTAAGAACTGAAAGAAGGCCAGTGTGCCTGCAGCACAAGCCCAATGGGGTAGGCTCTGTTATTTGCACGAATCCAATTTTGCAGATGAAGAAAATGAAGAGTAGGTTTCTGGTCTTTGCTTGTCTGGTAATACAGCCAGGCAGCAGCTAACCAGACCTTGAACAGATTCCTCCTCATTCCTCAGCTCCTGTTCCTCCCTAGATGGTTTGCTGTTGGAGATGGATCATTTTTAGCATTGTTTTCAAGGAGGATAAAAATGGAGCATGACCAGGAGAGGAAAAATATATCTAGGCAAAGGGTATCACTGTTGCAGTAGTCATAAAAAGACATGAGCTGGGAATGTTAAGTAAGGGAGCTGAACTCCTGTGGAGAGTTTGAAGAAGGGGTGGCTAAGATCAAAGCAGCCAAAAATAAGGGAGGTGGTTGTATTCTGTGATTAGGATTCCGGGTTTGAAACAATTGTGGGTCAATCAGTTAATTAATACAACCACAGCAAAAGATGATGCTAGTGTTTGAGCAGTCTCATTGTCACCCTTTTCTTCCCTAGTGGTCTTTAGAAATAAGATCAGTGTTCACCCGAATAAAGCAGTTTCACTTTTATCCTCTCTGGAGGGTAGGGTTGAATGGACTCAGTGACTTCTCGAATTCCTAGTGATTCATAAAGGAGTAGGTCTCCTAAGTGTGTGGTGAAATACAGTGCTGGGCAGAGTGAGACTAAACTCGAAGGTTCTTTGCCTCTCAGATGGAAGAGAATGTTTTGCACCAAACACTTTCCAGAAATCCCTACAGGCTAAGGAAAGGCTTTGGCCAAGGGGAAGTACTAGTGTGTGCATGAAGGATGTGAAATGAAGAATGCTGATATTTTAAGGCGAAAGACAAATCTCAGGAAATGAATATATTTGGAAGCTTTATATTAGGATTTTATTATATAAATGTGCCCAGTAGATACAAAACCCAAGTCACGCTTATACTCAGGTAAAACTAGGGAGACACGTTGTGCCCCTCGCAGAAAATCTGAAATGTCAAAGCAGATGCTCTAGACACTTTCGTAAAAAGAATGTGGAATGAATGACTGAGAGAAGTCTTATCGCTGCTACTATTTGAAGACCTAGCTCAGAGCATCAGAACAATGGTGTGTGCCCAGTATAGAAGAGAAACAGGCACTTCAATGAGCAGAATCTAGAAAGTGTCATCTTTAAAAGGAAACAGGTGGTTTCCTGGGGAGTCATTCTGACATGAGCTGAGTTTTAGACCTATTAAGTCTACAAAGAGACTGACTTTCATTCTCTAGGTTCTTAGGGATTTAGGAAATGGGAAGAACTAACAAGAGGAATAAAGCTCCTAAAAGTGCTACTTAAGCTGCATATCTCCAGACTCTATTCCAATCCCACTGGATGGAGTCCCTGGAAACAGAGACAGCCTGAAAATATGAATTCTTTTTTTTTTTTTGAGATGGAGTCTCGCTCTGTCACCCAGGCTGGAGTGCAGTGGCCGGATCTCAGCTCACTACAAGCTCCGCCTCCCGGGTTCATGCCATTCTCCTGCCTCAGTCTCCCGAGTTGCTGGGACTACAGGCCTGCCACCACGCTCCGCTAATTTTTTGTATTTTTAGTAGAGACGGGATTTCACCATGTTAGCCAGGATGGTCTCGATCTCCTGATCTCGTGATCCGCCCGCTTCGACCTCCCAAAGTGCTGGGATTACAGGCGTGAGCCACTGCGCCCGGCCGAAAATATGAATTTTTAATAATGTATTTCCCAGGGGCCAGTAAAGGATCTAGGCAGTGAATAAAAATTAAAAGAAAAATGCCCACATCTGACTGCAGTCATATGAGTCACCCCAAGTGAGATCCACCCTGCTAAACCCAGTCAATTCACAGAATTTATAGGGATTATAATAAATTGTTGTTTTAATCCACTAAATTTGGAGTCGTTTGTTATGCAGGAATATGAGAATTAAAACACATCCTCAAAGTTCAAAAAGGGTGTTCCTGATTGGCAGGCAGCTCTTTTAAAACTGGATCCAGGTGCCTTCCATCTGTGGCTTCACCATCTTCAATACACGGTTTCCAAGATCACTGTGGAAAAGAAAAGAACATAAAGGATAATGCATGGGAGGTCTGTGTGTATCAGGTCAGGAAATGGGATCTACCACTTCTACTCACATTTTATTGGTCAGAATCCATGCACATGGTTACACCTAACTGCAAGGAAGGCTGGAAAATGTAGTCCAGCTGTGAGTTTAATGAACAGCCAGTTAGTCTCGTGAACTAATGTTCCTCTTAGGACTCTTTCTTACTGGGTGTCGGGTAGAAACAATGAAACTGGACAAATATCAATATGTCAGTCTCTTCTGATTCAAACAGTCCTTTCACATTCAATTCCCTTTCCTTTCTCCTGTTCCTCACCAAAATGGTATCTGGGTGTTTGGAGCAAGGGAATAGAAAACACTGTGGCCTGAGAATAACGGTGTCTTGGATAAGCACATGTGGGTTCTAGGAAGACTTCCTGTTTTACACCTGATTTTCTGATCCTTATTCCCTGCAATGTCCTGTTTGGCATTTAGGGATGCCATGTCTCAACCTCAGCTGAAGTGGATGGCTTGGCCCGTCTCTGCCTTTGGCAGCCTCATAGTACCTGGTATCTCTTGGTACCTGGCAGTTCAGTGACCCTTTTGGGACTTCTGTGTCCCCTCAGTGGGGACACAATGGAACTTCTTCCTCCCCACACCACACCAGCATTCTGCTTATAGGCTTTGGAGAATATGGAGTCCTTTGGCTTGGATCCATTAGCTTGAACCTGATATATGAAGAACAGTGCAGACCAGTATGGCTTAGGAGGAAACTGAAAAGAAATAAAAGCATAAGCCATTAGATCTCAGTCCTTCTCCTTCAAGCAGCCAGCATGGTTAAGTCACAGAGGAGAGTGTCTCCTTTCCTATGGATCCTATCACACTACTTGGAACTATAGTATGTAATATTTACATAATCAGAATACATTTTTTGAGATTGGGTTTTACATTTTTTGAAAATTTAAATTTAAATTTTTTGACAAAGCACATAAGACATTTTGTCAAAAATTTAAATTTTTTGACAAATCACACAAGACATAGCTAAAGAAAAGTACAAATTTACACTGAATAACTTAAAAATTATAAATATGACTAACATTTAAAAGAAAGAGGTAGAGATAGCATAAGTATGATAAACTTGGCCAGGCGTGGTGGCTCACGCCTGTAATCCCAGCAATTTGGTAGGCTGAGGCGGGTGGATCACCTGAGGTCAGGAGTTTGAGATCAGCCTGGCCAACATGGTGAAACGCTGTCTCTACTAAAAATACAAAAACTAGCTGGACATGGTGGTGGGCGCCTATAATATCAGCTACTTGGGAGGCTGAGGCAGGAGAATCGCTTGAACCTGGGAGGCGGAGGGTGCAGTGAGCTGAGATCGTGGCACTGGACTCCAGCCTGGGTAACAGAGAGAGACTCCCTCTCAAAAAAAAAAAAAAAGTATAGTAAACTCAGTTGTCATTGAGGCAAGACAACAGATACTTTCTAAAACAGATAAATCAGGAACTATAGTATTTAAAGTTAAAATGTTAAGTACTAGAAGAAAAACACAAAACAACAGCAACAGCACAACTCTGGGGAATGGAGGTTGGAATGGAGGGTGACAGAAAAGGATACTTAAACTTCCATTTCAGAACTCCTGTGCTTTGCATTTGAGTAAATTTTAAAACTCAGATACAGATAATACTTTAGTATTAAATACTGCACTAACATTAAACCCTAAAACAAAACAGAGACATCCTCATCAATAAGAAAATACATAATATATATTTATTAAATTTCATATAGATCTTAGAAAAATGAAGTAAATGTAAAGATGTGGACATTATGGAAGAATATCCATGATGTAGCATTAGGTGACAGAAGTGATTTATAGAGCAATATGGTTAGAATGCCCTTTTATGTCAAAATGTTCATGTTCACATATACAGTTATATGTCACATATGTAGGTACACATTTGTGTATGCAAGGGAAAACTGCATAGGGATGTGCCCCCAAACACTTTGGAATGCAGAGAAGGAAAGACTTCTGTTTCACACTTACGTACTTTTTTTTTTTAACTTTCAAAAAAAGCAGCATGCATGTTCGTTATTAATGATATAATTTAGAATGTGAGTTTGCATTATGGCACTTTGTCTTATCAGCTGTGTAATAAGGGGAGAGTCATGCTACCTACCCTTTTGTACCTCAGTTTCCCCATCATTACACAAAAGAACTCCCACCCATTGCACAGTGATATGTGTAGATGAAACGTTCCAATCGAAATGTACGAATGTATCCTAGCAGCTTGTAGGGATTTGATACAAATTATATCCTTTCCTCATTCTCCTTTCAGGGTGAGAAATGGCAGTCAGGGTGACTCAGGAAGAGGGTTGGGTGGAGGGTGGAAAGTGAAGGGTGGAGGGCGGAGGAATGATTCAGACAGACACTATTTAAAAACAGCCCTCAGATGCACAAGGATGAAGCCATCTCTAGCTCCAAGATAACAACCCTCCCCTTTCCTACAATTTTCTTCCAGCTCCCACCCCCATCCTTTCTCTCCTAGACACCTCTTAATATTTGTTTTAACCCAGCTTTATCCGTATAAAATGTTTGGAGGTTATTAAAATGTTCCAAGATAGAAATAGCCTCCTTTTTTCCTGCCCCTAAGTCATCACACTTAGTTGTGATGCACTTAATGTTGAGTACCCGATGCACTAAGTTCCTGAAGAGTAGAGTTCTCGCCAGGTGTAGTGGCTCACACCTGTAATCCCAGCAGTTTGGGAGGCCAAGGCGGGCGGATTACCTGAGGTCAGGAGTTCGAGACCACGCTGACCAAAATGGCAAAACCCTGTCTTTACAAAAATACAGAAACACCTGTAGTCCCAGCTACTTGGAAGGCTGGGGCAGGAGAATCACTTGAATCCAGTAGGCAGAGGTTGTGGTGAGCTGGGATGGCACTACTGCACGCCAACCTGGGCAACAGGGTGAGACTGCGTCCAAAAAAAGTAGAGGTCTGTTTTGTGATTTTTTTCCTCCAGGGCCTAACACAATGACTGACACATGGTACTTACTCAATGTTTACTGAATAACTCCAGAAAAACCTTTCTTGGTTCTTTCCGTGACATTCCCATTGCTCTTATGCCAGGATCATAGCTAATTAATTAATTAGATTAATTTATCCCCACACCAAAAAAAAAAAAAAAACACATTTTCAGGGAAGTAATACATGTAAAATAGCTGATATTTATTTGCTTACTAAAACAAATGCACCCCTGATTGGTGAAAGTTCAGACTGAGGTACTGGTTTAGTGGAAGGAGGAAAACAAAATACTTCCAGTCACTGAATTTTTCTTTCTCTAAGTATGGGCTACTTTAGGTCAAACTACTCAGATGTCTAGGATCTGGCTTTTGTTGACTGTTCTGAGGGCTCTTTGTTAGCTGTACATCAGTGGAAAAGAGACTGAGATGATGGTATTTAGTTGGGATGCAGCAGTCTCAACAACCCAATCCAGTGCTACCTCAACCACGTGTCACACTCCCAGCCGCAGCTGCCCATGGAACAGAGAGCAAAGCCACGCCATTGCATGCATTTTATTGCCATGAGGATTTCATCGCCGTCCTCAACACAGATCCCCGCTGAGCTATTCTGGACCATGTTGATGACGCTTTGTGTCAAGGGTAGACATAGACTGTAGGAGGCGTGCACCATGGAAAGTAAGCTGGCAACTTCTTCCTAAAACAGTTTCCAATTCTCTGTGCTCCAGATTTCACCAATCCAGAGTTGAGGAACAGACAGCCTTTCAAGCAAACGCAGCCCTTCCCCCACAACCCACCATCCTCAGGACTCCTCCTCTTTGGAGAAGCAGCGAGGGAAGAGGCAGGGCAAGGAGAGTGGTCAGGAGTAGCTAGAGGCTCACAGCTTCTTAGCTGGGACCTCCGGAGTCCTCCTGGACCATGGTTGCTAGAGAAGTAAGCCGGAAGGGGAGGACTTAGTCTCCTGGTTTTTAAATCCCAGGTCCTTCCGAGGAACCCCAGAACAACTTCCTGCTGTCTCTAATTCCTCCTGCCTACAGCTGACTTTGGAATTGCTTGGCTTGGCTTTGTTGACATGATAATAATTATAGTCATTTTCATTAATTGCTCCCTATTTGAGCCTAATTGCCATGGATTACAATAAAATTATGCACATCATTCAATGTGCCATATTAACTTCAGATTTTATACCATTGTAACAGTAGCTTTGATTCACTTTTAGATATTATTGCTCACACGACTTAGTTATATACAGTTTTTTTTTTTTTTTTTCATAGACAAAAACAAACCTATTTCAAGTAGCCAAATCAGCGTAACCAGCAGGGGAGCCTCAGGAGGGACTGGGACTAAGAAAAGGGAAGTTGTCTTTTTTGCTTTTTCCTATGCTTCCCCTTTGTTCTTTTCTCTTTCTCCTGGTTATCTTTTTTGCTTCTCCATAGCAGCAGATGCTCTTCCACAGTAGGCTCCTGATGTTCCATGACCTCCATTCAAGTGACCAGCCTAGACTGATGGCTATTTTCATTCTGCTTCCAAATTCCCAGGAGAAAGTATCCAAGTAACTCAGCTTGGTCGATTATTTCTGATTCAGTCAAGTGTGGTCAATAGATGGCATGACAGTTCAAGAATTTCAGGGGCTCCCAACCTATGGGTGGTTGGGTGTGTGAGGGTGGTGGTAGAGAAGCTCTCCAGTTTGCAGGGGTCCCCGTGGCCGCGGACCTGTACCAGTCCGTGGCCTGTTAGGAACGGGATCATACAGCAGTAGGTGAGTGGCTGGTGAGAGTGAGCATTTCTGCCTGAGCTCCGCCTCCTGTCAGATCAGCAAGTGACATTAGGTTCTCATAGGAGCGTGAACCCTATTGTGAACTGTGCATGCGAGGGATCTAGGTTGCACACTCCTTATAAGAATCTAATGCCTAATGATCTGAGATGGAACAGTTTCATCTTGAAACCACCCCCGCCCAATCCCCCACCTGGTCCGTGGAAAAATTGTCTTCCACAAACATAGTCCTTGGTGCCAAAAAAAGTTGGGGACTGCTGCTTCAAGGCTTTCTGTAAGGTGGGGGTAATAATGCAGAGAACCTGTCTCTTGGGGTGGTGGTGAGTGCTGCAATTGGCATTGTTCACAGGGTACTTTGCACAGTCCTGGCACATAGAAATCACTGAATATAATGTTTACCATTATTGCTGTTATTATTATCTCTGGGTCCTTAAAACATTTTTTCAGGATTTTTAGGTGGGTATGATTTCAAAATCCATAAAATCCACCTAAAGATTTATATGAGAATAATCCAAAAATCTCAGGGAAATCATATGAAAAAGATTATTTATTTATTTTCCTCAAATCTCTGAACAACAGTTTAAACGTTTTCACACACTAGATCTCATTTTGGAGAGCTTGGAGACGTGGCCTGTAAGGTTTCACTAATCCAGGAGGGGGCAGGCTTCCCAAACACAAATGCCCTCAGCTGCGGAGCCGCGGCTCCAGGAGAAACAAAGGCGCGTCAGTGAGAGCCGTTTCAGAAATCTAGTATTACCTTCAAAAAACAATGTAAGAAATCAAAAGCAACTGAATATTTGCATGGCCTAGAAGAATCCCTGGCTGTGTCATCCATAGGCACCTCGTCACTTGCCAGGTCAGGTCGGCTGTAAGCTTGTGAAGTAAGCAGAAGAAATTTCCCGTGTCCCCACCCACTCCTATCTTTGCCTTTGTTTCTGGTCCTCTGCCCGCTTCCTGCCTGTACCTTCCTCCTTCGTCTTTGTTCCCCTCTCCCATGGCAATCTATCTTTGGGAAAAATAACTGTGATTTAAATGTTTAAAGAAATAAGGATCCTAGGGATATTAGGTCGCTTCAAACACTCAAGAGCGTGATAGTCACTAACAAGGGAACTTGCGTGTGGATGCCCTACCAGGTAAGAGAGGTGGAGGATTCGTGACTTAAAGCAAGGGCATTGAAGGTAGATAAGGCTGGTTTAAATCCTGGCTTTGGTGATAACACATTGCCACTCTGTGACCACTTCCCAGCTCCATTACCCCGAGTAAGTTACTAAGCCTCTTTCTCCTCATCTGTAGAAGGAGGGTAATGTTAGAACGCGTCCTGGGGTTTCCTGAAGATTAAAAAGGACAGTGCATGTCTAGTACATAGTATTTGGCACATAAGACATACTCAACTGTAGCTGTTATTATAATAAAAGTTTTATTATAGTGATATGATGTTAATAAATTATAGTAATATAATTTTTTATTTTTATTTTTTATCATGGTCCTATTTTGTACTACACATTAGACAATTTCTGGTGTATTACCTATAGGTCTGAACTGGAGGAAAAGGATACATTTTAAATGAAACATGACATATTAGAGACAACACAGAAAAAAATGAGCAGGATGAAGTTTCTGGAAACTCCTATAAAAATCTGTTGAAAGAGTTGTGGTCATTGGAACTGAAAAGTATGAGAATAAGAGCTTAAGAGCAATGCATCTTCAAATGCAGGAACAGCTGGAGGGAATCCCAAGGGGCCTGGACAACCCTAATCCTCTAGATCAGGAAGGTTTTGCCCTTGTCTCTGTTAGCTGCCCAAGGGGAATTACTGCCTCCATCTCAGTTCATGTTAATTTCTCAGTTTGGAGGTTCTCGGAACCAATGGAATGACAGACCCATGGTTACAAACTCTCAAGGGAAACTTTTCCCCTAGAGCCCAGACTACTGAGATAGAATATCACCTTTATTGTCTCCCTGAGCCCACGGGTGCATTTCCTGATTCATTCCCTCACTGTGAGTATAGCCTTTCTGAGGACCAGGATTTCTACAGGGTGCGTTGCAGTTCCAACACCCAGCATTCTGCATCTCCAGGCCTCACATTCTGCCCTGGCCTGAGCATACTAATCCAAGCCTCTGGGTGCCTGAGCCCGGCAACTCCCACCCTGAGTGGCTCTAGCATACATGCACGTACTCACTGCTCATTTTTCCTTCTCACTTCATTTTTGACTCCAGGAACTTTTTGAACTTTCTTCCAGCATTCAGCCGTGTCTCAAAGGAGACTTGTTTTACTGGATCCAGAATTTCTGATTATTGTGGAGCTACATGGTTTTTGGATTGTTTAGTTTACCATACACCTAGAGGCAGAAATTAGTTTAAAAAATAATTAAATACTTAAATACAAAATTTAATCACATTTAGAGGGAAGTTGGGAGTTCCCAAGGGGCAGATTTAAGCTCTCTATTAAAGGAAGCTGCTAAAGAGAGTTGTGGAATGGTGAGATCCAGGCAGTGTGGGCATTGGTTGACTCTACGATGCCATCATGACGATTGTCACATTAAATAATTCTGAAGCTGAAAGAATTTAAGGGAATGTTTGACCTGCCCCACAGTACCTGTATTTAAGACTTAATAGGCCATGGGGAAAGTCAGTAAATGTTCAGGAGAGTCTATTTCTGAAAAAATGTTCCCACCTAAGGGATTAAGGACCTCCTGTAAGGAAGGCTGGGCTCAGTGAACTACTCCACAGCCTTCAATCTGTTTCTTTGTGCTTGTGGGGCAAGAATAAGCTAAGAGCACCAGGGTTGTCAATATACTTATTGTAGGAAATAAAGAGGTTTGTTAAAACAACAACAACAACAACTACTCATGACTTTGGAAGCAGTCATGTGATAAAGACGTGAATTCCAAGATCTCAGTCATTTCCTCTCAGTGAAACATTATCAGAGACCAACAGAAAATCAATAAAAGATTTCAGTCTCATAGAGTTTGTGTAAATATTGCAGAAATGACTTTCACAAGGGTGATAAGCACAGCCTTATCACATTTAATTCAGCTGAGAAGTCCAACTAAAACATAAAACTCTACCCCCTCTGATGGCAAGACGTTTTATAACAATGAAAGTAGCTGGATTTATACTGTATAAGCCAGCACTTGAGCACTCATCCATGCAGCCTCGCCACCTCAACAGGTTGCCAGCGCCTGCCTTCCCACTCCTCTGATGCCAAGTAAAATTGTAAAGTTTGCCTGTGATGCTCCCAGATTCCTGAATTCATCCCTATTCTCAAAGAAAACTTTTCCATTCCCATTCAGACACTTCCCAGCTCTCAAAAAAGACAAGGAAACTAATTTCTACTGAAGTATGAAACTAGTGATCGTTTAACATGCACCTCTTTATTTCACATGCACCTCTTTATTTTTCCTAGAAGAGTTGCAATTTAACAGGAATCAAGATTCTAACCTACAAGCGGAGCAGAACTGTGTTTATTGTGTGCTATCTTTTGGTTAAGGAACTATATAATTGTATTTGCTTATATTTTCAAAAATAAACCATGAAAGGATGAGACCAAATCTGACGAAAACAATTACCTCTCATATAGGGAGGGAGGAAATGGGATAGAAAGCACATGAAAGCAATCCTTTTCTGGATTTACTTTGTTTTGTGGTTTTTACTTTGAAACAGAGGTGTGTGCTAAAGCCAGTTTATACCAGCTAGCAAGAGCCAGTTAAATTTTCAGGAATTTTGTGAGCCAGCTATGAAACAGCTATTATCAAAGATTAATTTATGTAACTTAATATGAAATAAATTATATTTAAAAAGACAATAAATACTTAAAACTCATGTTTTAATTATTTTTATACATTTTACAATTATCTGTGCTACTGAGCTTTATATGTGTCATATATGCATGGTAGAACTCCTCTATAATGGTGTACTACCAAATTCTTCCAAATTCTGCATTTTAACTCAAAATCAGTCATGGTGGTAATATGTATACCATAAAAATTGACAAAATCCAGTCTTTTATTTATAAACATTTACCAGCATAATGCTACTTTGGAACTGTGTTAATATTTCACATCATTTAAAAGTTAATATTTTACACAATTTAAAATTCTTAAAGAGTAAATCACTAAAAATTAAAAAACAAACTGAAATAAACAAACATCAAACGTGTATCACTTAGTACTCATAACAATATGAAGACAAATTATTTCAAGTGACTTTAAAGCATAGTATTTTGACTGTAACTTTCTACTACCATATATTCTAGAAGGGGGAAAAAGGAAAGAATTCTTAATCTGCATTAAGTAGTATTATTGCTAGTAGTAATAATTATATTGTTACTTTAGAACTATTAATACATACACACATGTGTGTATGTAAATAATTTACTATTAGGAGCCAAGATTTTTTTCAGTATAAAAAAATACATAAAATATAAACCCCAAAATGTTAAGTAAAACTTAATAATCTGAAATTCAAATTATATTGGTATGAATACATGATTTCTTTTAGGCATGTGATATACTAAGGAATAAAGATAACAGTAATTTTCTCATTGGGCATAGGACAAACAGAAAGACCATGGAGTAATGTCTTTAAAGTATTGAAAGAAAAAAAGTCAACCTAGAATTCTATACCTGGCTAAAATATTTTTTTAAAATGAAGATAAAAACTGAAGACTTCTTAGACAAAAAAACTAAAAACAATTCATTACCAGCAGGCCCACACTGTAAGAAATGTTAAACTCCTTTAGGCAGAAGGAGTAATTCCAGATGAAAATGTGGATCTTCAAAATGGAATGAAAAGCACCGTCAATGGTAACTACATGAATTTCTTTTATCACATTATTCAAATGTATTTATAAAATAATTGACTGGTTAAACAAAACTTATAGCAATATAAGGTAGAGTTTACAATATGTAAAAGTAAATTATATAAAAACAAAGGCTTGGCCAGGCGCAGTGGCTCATGGCTATAATCCCAGCACTTTGGGAGGCTGAGGCAGTTCACCTGAGCTTGGGATCACCTGAGGTAGGGAGTTCAAGATGAGCCTGATGAACCCGGAGAAACCCTATCTGTACTAAAAATACAAAATTAGCAGGGCGTGGTGGTGCATGGCTGTAATCCCAGCTACTCAGGAGGCTGAGGCAGGAGAATGGCTTGAACCTGGGAGGTAGAGGTTGCAGTAAGTTGAGATCACGCCACTGCACTCCAGCCTGGGCAACAAGAGTGAAACTCCGTTTCAAAAAAAAAAAAAAAGACATTTTGAATGAATAAAAATAAAAATAAAAATATTTCAAACTTTGTGAGATACCACAAAAGCAAAAAGCCCATATTATCAAAGAAAAGAGGTCTAGAATCATTGACTTCAGCTTCTAACTTCAAAAACTAGAAAAGATAAAATCCAAAGTGGACAGAAGAAAGGAAATAATAAAATCTTAGATGAAGTCAATGAAATAGAAAATAGAAAAAAAATCAATGAAAACAGAAGCTAATTCTTTAAGAAGATCAATAAAATTGCCAAACCTTCAGCAGATTGATAAGAAACAAAAAAGAAAGAATAAATCAAGTCAGGAGTTAGAGAGGTGACATAACTGCAGATTCTACAGATACTAAAAGGACAATATGGGAGTATTATTAACAACTTTACGCTAATATCTTCACCAACTTGAATGAAATGGAAAAACTGCCTAAAATTACAAACTACCAAAACTCTCTCAGCATGGATCGGATAATCTGAATAGCCCTAAATCTATGAAAGAAATTGAAGTTTTAGTTTAAAATTTTCCCACGAAGAAAATTCCGGGCCCATGTGGCTTCAGTGGTATATTCTATTAAATATTTAAGGACGTAAAAACTACCCATTCTACACAAACATTCTGAGAAAATGGAAGAGGAGAAAATTCATTCTATAAGGTATGATGATTCTAGAACCTAGGATATTACAAGACAAAAAAATTACAGACTCATAACCCTCATGAACATAGATGCAAAAATCCTAAATAAAACTTCGGGAATCATATGTAATAATTTAGAAAAAGGAGACTACAACATGACCACATGCTATTTATCTGAGGAATCCAAGAATTTAACATTTGAAAATCAACTTAATGTAATTCACTATGTAAACAGACCGAATAGGCACAGAAAAACGTTTGACAAAACATGACATCTGTTTCTCATTAAAAATCTCTCAGCAAATTTGGATAAGAAGGGAATGTCTTTAACTTGATAAAGGGAATCTATGAAATAAACTATTGCATACATCATACTTAATGATGAAATACTGAATACTCTCCCACTAAGGTCAGGACCAACACAAGAATGTCTGCTCTCACCACTTCTATTTAACAGTGTGCTTGAGATTCTAGCTTGGGCAATAATGAAAAAATAAATAAATAAAAGAATAAAAGATGTTCAGATTGGAAAGGAAGAAGTAAAACTCCCTTTATTCCCAGATAATGTGATAGCTTACATAGGAAATCTGAGCAAATCTTGAAAAGCTCCTAAAACTAATAAATGAGCAATGTTGCTGGATACAGGATCAGCAAGCAAGAATCAGTTGTGTTTCTATGTATTTGCAACCAACTATCAGAAATTTAAATAAAACAGTGCTGCTTACAGTAGCATAAAAATATGATACATAGATGTAAATTTGACAAGATATGTGCAAGACCTATATGCTGAAAGCTACAAAACATTGCCAAAATAAATTAAAGCAGATCTAAATAAATAAAGATATCATGGTATTGAAGACTTGATATTGCTAAGTTAAAGTTCTCCCCAAATTGATCTATAGATTAAACACAATCTCAAAATCTTCACACACTTTTTTGGTACAAATTTACAAGCTGATTCTGACATTTATATGGCTATGCCAAGGACCTAGACTAGTTAAAACAATTTTGAAAAGAAGGAAAAAGTTGAGAACACTAAACATTACCTGATTTCAAAGTGTATAAAGCTGCAGCAAGACACTGTGGTACTGGAGTCAAGTTAGACAAGTAGACCAAGGGAACAGAACAGAGTCCTGAAACAGACCCAAACATAAATGAAAACTTGGTTGTTGACAAAGTTTAAAGCCCAGTTCTTGGACAAAAATGTAGCCTTTCAACAAATGGTTCTGGAAAAAAGGGAATATCCATGTGCAAAATAAATGAACTTTGATCCACATGTTGTACCATATACAAAAATTAACTCAAAGTGAACAGTAGACCTAAGTGTAAAATCCCAAAACTATAATACTTCTAGAAGAAAACATAGGATAAAATTTTTGCAGCCTTGGGTTAAGCAAAGATTTCTTGCACAAAATACCAAAAGCACATACTGGGTGAAAATATTTGCAAATCATGTATCTGATAAATAACTCATATCAAAAATATCTAAAAACTCTCAAAATTCGACAATAAGAGAAAAAACAACCAAATAAAAAAAGGAAAAAAAAAATTAAATAGACACTTCACCAAAGAAAATATATTGGTAGCAAATAAGCACAGGAAAACATGCTCAACATCTGTAGTTATTATGGAAATGCAAATTCAAATTGTCATGGATATCACCACATATCTATTAAATTGACAAAATTAGAAAGACCACACCAAATATGAGGAGGATGTGGAGAAACCCAAACTCTAATATACTGCAAGTACTTAAAATGTAAAATTTGAAAAATTTTGACTTATGCATACACTCACAAAATTGTCACAACAATCAAGATGGTGAACACATCTGTCATTCCCAAAAGTTTACTCATAACCCCATTTGTAATTCTCCCCTCCCACCATTTCCTGTTGCCCCCTTTCCCTTAGTCCCCAGGCAACCGTAGAAGCCACAGATCCTTTCTCTGTTACTATAGTTTAGTTTTTTATACCTTTACAGAAATAAAATGGTATGGTATGTATGCTTTTTGTCTTGCCTATTTCACTGGTGATAAATTTTTGAGATTCATCCAAGTTGTTGTGTGTATGAATAGTTCAGTTCTTTTCATTGCTGAGTAATATTCCATTGTATGGATATACCACAATTTGTTTATTCATTCCATGTTGATGAACATTTGAGTAATTTCTACCTTTGGCTATTACAAATAAAGCTACCATGAACATTCTTATATGACTTATGCCTTTCTTTCTTTGAATAAATACCTGGGAGTAGAAAGTCTTCATCATTATGGTAGGGATATATTTAATGTTTTGTGGAAGTCCTAAGCTACTTGAAAACCTTCTCAAAGACCTATTGAGGTAAGGATCATTTATCTTAGAGATGAGGAAATTTGAGTCTCAGAAAAGTCATATTGATTTACCCAGTGTGTCTCTGCTAGTAAGTAGTACAACCAAGTGCAACTAAGTTTGGAATAAACTTAATTCTTCTGATTCTACACCCAGGAGATGCTTCCATCAGCCCATAGACATTCCTAAAAACCTAGTCTCACCACTAATATTGCTCAGCATTTATACACTGTTACTGCAGAAATAGGAACTTGGAGACCTCCTGTTAAAAGAGTGCTTCAAAAACATTCTATGAAACATTAATCTTACAAGATGATGTATGACACAAGCATTTGATGGTTAAGGAAACCTGGGAGGGCTACACCCGTTAGTCCCCTTGTATAAGTACATCATGTTAAAATATGACAGATATGAGAAATTCCATAGCAACAAATTCATTTATATTTGTCTAATCAAGTACATCCTAACCATATTTGAACTTAGAACTTGTTTTTTCACCTACAACTTTTTACTAGATATTATAAACTTTATAATAAAAATGTGTTAAGTGTGTAGTAAACTTTAACGAAATTTGAATTAAGACTTGTCAGGTCAGGATAACAGCACAGCCTCCTTTTACTTTGCTCTCTCAGCATCATGAAAGATACAAATAGAATGACAACTATTTAAAAAGTAAAACTTTGCACCAGGCATCAAATTGTGACTCTTTATAGATTGCCTATATATCAGAATAAAATCATTTAATTCTTATATTGAAGCAAAACCTACTGGGGCTTATTCATTTCAAGCTGAGTTATTCTTTGACATATTGAAATTCACTACAAGAAAAAACAATCTTTATTCTAAGCCTTTTCAAAGTTGATGAACAAAGAAAGCCACATCCAAGTTGTAAGTACATCTCTTCAGCTGTGTAGATAATGCAGCCTCATGCAATTAAGTTAAGTGGAAGTAGTTAAGAACAATTTGTTGATCTTCATGGCCTTTTGTCTGTAGGAAACCGATTCTATTCAAAACCATATGTCTAGACCACATTTATGCTTTAGAAACAAGGCACCAAATTTTGATCCAGACTGCCTAGGTTACCTCTTGAACCTACTGATACCTTTATTTTGAGTGTAAATTTTTCCCCTTTAGTAGAGCAGTGTGCCCCAAATCAAAATGGTGAGTGTTGCAAATTCTGGAAATCATAGGTTGCCAATTCTTCCTTTCCACTCACACTGTCAATGACTGTTCAGCATGATGAAGAGGCAGGAATAAGAATGGGAGAAGGCAATGCAGAAACTCCCTAAGCAGGTTATTCTCCATCTTCAAATACATTCTCTGTATTTGAATGGCCCTCCATCTCTTCAGGGCCTACGGAGGCTCCATCACTCTGGTTCTCTTTCCCTCTGGCTTCTGATTGGGATTAGCCAGTGGTGAGCACCATGAGGTCCTGAATCTTGCCCCTCTTCCACTACCCCTTGCACCCTCTTTGCCTGTCCGTTCTTGGCTAGGGCTGCCTTCCTCTGCTGTCAGCCGTGGCTCCAGTCAGGCACCCCCTCCCTCCCACAGCTCTGCAGCTGTGCTCAAGATCTGCTCAATTCTCCTCCCCTGCTCCCTTGAGGTCTCATGATGGTGAAGGCTGCCCAGTGCTGCCAATCCAGGGTGCTTCACTCCCCTTGTTTTCCTCTTGACTCTGCTCCCACCTCTGTGAATAGTCCCTTTGTTAAATGTCTACTCATTACCCCTTTGTGTGTGCCAGCTGTTCCCTGCCAATATCATCACATGTACCCATGTTCTAATGTTAAAATTCCTACCAAATCACTTAATTTATATTACAGTTAAAAGTTGTGATATGAGTTTTTCAAATTAGATGTCTTGCTTTGAAAGGGGAAATTTTAGAAAATGTATTTTTAAATGAGTGAGGGTATTTCATACTAAAATGGTGAATCCTAACTTTTTTCTCAGTAGGTTGAGGAAAGCATTTTAGCCACTTAAGACTGGCTGACAAAAGTGTGTCTTCTCTCCTTTTTCCTTTTCACACTCACGAGAAGTTCTAGGACATGCTGGCCCCAACTGAGGCCATCTCCTCACCCCACACCCAGACTTGTGACTCCTCTGGATAAAGGACAAAGTTGATTTGCTTTCCTTGTTTTTAAACCATAGCTGCTAAATTGAGGGAAGTCAAATGATCTGGTATTCTAACATTCCACATCTCCTTCCAAATTCTTTTTCTTTTTTACCCCTTATTTTCTTCCCCACCTTGTTCTATTTCCTACAAAATGGCTTTTGTTTCTTTCCCCCTTCTTTCCCGTTGTTATGTGATGGCCCATGTCCCAAGACTGACCCTCAGCCACTTGTGAGGTGTGTCACAGTGACGTATAACTGATAGGAGCCAGAGTTCTTAAGCTTGCAAATATTTTACTTTAAAAAATAGATGCAAATGGATTCAAGGTTACTCTGCAGAATAACATAACTCTCAATAATCTAAAATCCATAGTGCTTGGCCGGGTGTGGTGGTTCACTCTTGTAATCCCAGCACTTTGGGAAGCTGGGGTGGGAAGATTGCTTGAGCCCAGGAGTTTGAGACCAGCCTGGGCAACATGGGGAGGCCCTGTCTCTACAAAAAAATTAAAAAAAAAAAATAGCTGGATATGGTGGCATGTGCCTGTAGTCCCAGCTGCTTGTGGGATTGAGGTGGGAGGATCGCTTGAGTTGGGGAGGTCAAGACTGCAGTGAACTGTGATCCCACCACTGCACCCCAGCCTAGGCAACAGACTGACCCTGTGTCAAATAATAATAACAATAATAATAATAAAAAAACCCATAACACTTTCTTGAGTGGGAGAAAAAAATGTGGAATGATCGCTAATGTATCAGAAATTACACATAGCTGATAGTCTTGCCTTTCTATTACTGATCTACATTTAATAGCTCCGGCCATTAAAAATCATTGTAGCACTTTATTTCTGCACACACAAATTGTTTTTGACTCATTAAAATCTGGACATGCCTGTGGGAGTGTTGCAGATTTAAATATCATTCATCAAGTAAGCTGTCGTACAAAAAAAGTCTAGCACAGCTGCTTCAGGGAAAAACTAAAAGAAACCACATTACTGTGGGGAAATCCCCAATGGAAGTCCTATATGGCTTGAGAAAGAAACCCTCAATTGTAATACTTACATTATTATATTTGTGGATCTTGAATGAGTCTTATCTGTTAAAGATTGCTTCCCCCTTCAGCATCATTTTTTATTAAAAATTTTCCCAGCATCTTCTTTTTTTTTTTTTTGAGACAGGGTCTCGCTTTGTTGCCCAGGCTGGAGTGCCATAGTGCAATCATGGCTTACTGCAGCCTTGAACTTCTGGGATCAAGAGGTCTTCCCGCCTCAGCCTCCTGAATATTTGGGATTACAGGCATGAGCCACCACGCCCAGCCCAATTTGTCTTTTAACAACAAATTTAGAGAATATTAAAAATGTCTTTTTCACAGGCAGAACTATTCTCAATGTGTTCAAGCAGAACTCTAAGTCCTAAGTTAAAGACAGTCACATAACTGGGTTCCAAACTGCAGCATATGATTCTGTTTTCAGCACAAGATGACACCAGGTGTTGCAGTTTTGAAAAGAGATTTGTCAGGGCCTGGCTTGACCAGCTGCAGCAGGGGCCTGGGAGGAGTTGGCTCTGCAAGGAAGGGCCTTACTGGGGAGAGTCAGCAGGGTCGGCTCCATTGAGCAGCAGATTCTGGGAAGGGATCTCCGGTGGCAGGCAGAATCCCGTGTCCAGTGGGGCACATTACAGATTGGAGGGCGTTGTTGAGAACAGC